ACCCTGCCAGGGGAGCATGGTAATTAAGAATGGAAAAGCACAACCAGTACATTTATTTATAAGCTTCACTGAGTAATGGAGGTCAGCTTTTTGATTTGCTTCATCCTTCGATGGACTGCAATGTTTTCCTTGTGTTATGTAAACCAACATGGATATGCTACGAGCATATGTACATTTCTTATTATTGCAGATATGGGCATAATGCATTTCTTGCGGGCAGAAATATGGAATGTCCATGAAAAGTTGTAGTGATTACTTCCACTGTTTAACCGATCTAACATGAAGCAAAAGCACATGGCTTACAGACTAAATCCCGACAACAAATAGCTAATCTAGACAAGTCCAAGTAGACAAAAGATCTGATTTTTTTAACTGCAACATTCCTAGTGCTAGTCTGCCTGTAAGTTGAGACAAGTTCATGTACACAAAAATATCTAAACGTTTTCTACCGCGGCAACCCGAAAACAAAAGAATCTGAAATTGCAGGTAGCAGCCAATCTTTAAGCGATTCAGAGCAAATTCTGAAGTGAAACACAGTCACTAATAGATCATTGATATTGAACATGCATGTTAACAACTGCTTTCACTCAATTTTATTAAAAAAAAAAAAGCTTTACATGATGCTTTGCCTTACAAATTTATCGAGTCATGTCTACCTTAGACACGGAGACATTGCTTTCCATGCTAGTGATCTTATTAGCCTCCTCTTTTGGAAGTTGATTAATTCATGCATGAGGCGGCGCAGGAGGCGGAGGAGCGCCTCCGGGGAGGAGGCGTGCGCGGAGGGGAGAGCCGGGAGTGGGCTCGGCGGCGAGAGGTGGGAGACGGCAGGGAGGGGTCGAGGGGGATGGAGGCGGGTGAGGTGGAGATTTCGGGGTTTTCCTCTAGGGTTTCGATCTCCGGCCAGATGAGGCGCTGGTGCTTGGATATGATGGAGGGGAGCTTCCGCGCCAGGCGGCGGGAGGCGGCCATCGCCGGCCGCCGGAGGGAGAAAGGGGAGGGAATCAGAGGAGAGGAGTGTGTGGCCGGGTCATGGGCTTAGCCCACACGCATGGGGCATGCGCTACATGATAATTTACTGGCGAAGCCCATATTACAGTACGAATACTATTCAAATTTTCCCTCTGAAAAGTACATTTTTCATTTCAAAATTTCCATTGTGAGCTGTTCTAAAAACCCACTACTTCCAAATTTTCAGGTGTCCTAAAAAAATTGCAGGTTTATTAACATTTTTTTTTGTACTTTGCACATTTCACAAAGACCATCCTAAATTTCAAGGTGGGTCCTGGATGGAGAACTTCACCAAATTGGAATCTTCCATGGCAAAACACTAATGAGAACATTATATACTTGTTTGGGTGTAAATTTTCAATCCTTTCATGCCCCGAGAACCATCATGCCATCGAGAACTGACAGGCTATAATACCAACTAAACCTGGGCACCCTCCGGACCGGGCTTTGCAAAGCCCGGCCTCAAAATCCCAAGCCCCTGGCCCGGTCCGGCCCAATACACATGAACAGTGCATTTTTAAAATTAAAATAATGAATTTTGGAATATTTAACTGATATATTATACCTTTTTATAGAATAGTGATTTATGCCATGTTTGGGCTTTTCTTCGAGCTTTTGGGCCAGTTTTTGGGTGGATTTAAATATTAACATGTCTCATAATGTCAACCAACAACAAAGCTTTCCGTCACACCCTCATGAGAAGTCATCCGGACTGAAATAGGGGCGCACACGACCGAATCTCATCTGATCCAGCAATCTACAAGCGTAAAGCACACAATGAAGATATGCGGCGGGGCATTCCGGAACTCGTCAACGGCCATGTCCATGAGGGCCAACAACTGGCAGAACACCCTCTCAGAGCAAAAAGAACCCAAGGACTACGCCACCCGCCGGCTTCCAACAAGGCCGAAGATCTCAGTGGGCACCACCGCCACCACCCGCAACCACACGGAGATGAGTAGCTGAGCCGCACCAAGCCCCCCGAACTAGATGCCGTGCCTCCCTCACGGCCACAGCAGCAGCCGAGGTCGCCGAAGAATTCCGGGGTCGCCGCCCTGGCGCCCATCTCCGCCAGACGAACCATGTCATCCAAGGCCGCCATGAAGCTCCGGCCAAAGACCCTGCAACGTGAGAAGGGATGGGGCTCCCGCCGCCATCAGTCGCGCAAGGAGGATAAGGACCCGCCACCACCGTCAACCTCGCGACCTTTGACCGGAGGCGTCCTTTGGCAGCGGCGGGGAGAGCGGGATCGGAGGAGGAAGGGTGGCAACTGCGTTAGGGTTCTGCCCGAGTTGCCCCTCGTACCATACCTTCATAGACCTCTGCTAGACTGTTGTTGAGCCCGCCGACACATGTACCATCCAGTGTGGTGGGTTTTATCGCATGGTTCATCTATGTCGTGACATTTCCTTAATCCCATCTTTCATTTTCCACCTTGTGCCTTGTGCAGCCCTTTCCTTTGCGGTCGTCACTTCACACCTCACACCGCACTCCACTTCACTGGAATAGTTTCCTCGAGTTTCCTCGCTCCATATGTGTGTTCATATATTGTGGATTTCAAATATATGTGCATTCAATTTAACTATGTTAAAACGTAGTCATCAGACATTTTTTTAAAATTATACAGACGTTCCGTAAAAACGACTTTTCCGAAAAGTTTTGTAGGGAGCTACTACTTTATTAGAATTGCTCCAAGTTCGTGGGATCATTTTCCTCGTCTTATTACAGCTCCACTGAAAACCTCTTTTGATCGGGAACGTTGATTACTTTGAGGACCTCCGAATTTTTGTGGTCAAGCCGAAGATAAGTACGAGTTGCTAATATTTTAGAGTTGGCAGATGTTGACTAGTCAACGAAGTCAACGAGCGTTAGCCGTCGTCGAACAGTCAACAACCAGTGATCGACTCGCTCACCACACATTGTTCAGGACTGTTCGACGCCAACACTTGTCTTTCTCTCCCACACCACACCACACCACACCACACGAGAGACCACCATGCCTGGCGCTCGTGCCGCGGCCGTCCTGGCGCTCGCGCTCCTGCCGACGCTGGCCGCCGCCGCCATCGATTTCCGTCGTGAGGCCCCGCCGCCCGGTCACACGTGCGGCGCGCAGGGCACGTACGCTCCCGGCAGCGCCTACGAGACCAACCTGCGGCGTCTCGGCGCCATCCTTCCCTCCCAGGCAAACGCGTCCTCCTGCAAGTGCTCTCCCGGCAACAACGCCGGCGAGCGTCCCGACAGGGTCATTGCGTCGGCCTACTGCTACTGGCTCCCCGACGGGAGCTCGCCGGACTGCGGGGCCTGCATCACGCGGGCTTTCCGGGAGGCGGAACGGCTGTGCCCGTACCACCGGCAGGCCATGGTCGTGGTCGACGGCGGCGCGTGCAGCGTCTGCTTTCACGACGAACAGCGCATGGAGGAGGGCATGGGCGTCGGCCTCACCGGGCGTAAGCGACTCTATCTCTACATAAGTCTCATTTGAATAATTTGATTGCCCAGTGAGAAAAGTTTGGCACAAAATGATGTTGTGTTTGCCAAGAACCTTCAAACTGTCTTCTGTTGGTGACATAGACTTACAGTAGAAAAGAATGAGCTAAACCCAGAAATTCTAGAACCACAGTTTGTATGATTCTGTCTTACCCATGGTAGCAAATAGTCGGATCCATCCTTGAATTAGAATTACTAGAGACACTAGGTTCAATGGCAGGTTGGTCTTATCACCAGCCACATGTGAATATCTTACTTTCGCTTTTCTCTAGATTTTTTTTGCTTATAAGAGATAATGATCAAGATAACAGATAAAACGTGGATTATATATGTTATTACTTGTCAGTTGTGTACATGGACAACGCAGAATTAACCACCTGTTCTTTTCTTGCACTGTTGCTCTGCAAATGTAGTTAGTTTGGTCTTCTTAATTTATCTCATGTAGCCTTGTTATGGACTTTGAAACTTACAAGTGCTATATGAATGTTTCAGAATTTGCACTGGAGCCAAATGCATCATATCTTGAGTTTCTATGTCTGAAGCTGAGGTCTCTGTTAGAGAAGCAACTCTTGGAATCACATAACAAGAGTGAACATTCGACCCAAACTCAAGTTTGGAAGTCACCACAACAAGCCGCTATGTGAAGGATTATGTCTATGACAGGCCATGAATCTCTTCAGAAGAACAGCCATGAAACCTTCTTTGCGACAAGGATATATGCTAACCGAGTCTTTGAATTTCCATTGATCAAGATGAAAAGAGAGCCTACCTCTGTTTTTTCTTCTTGTTTCAGTTATGTAATGTGTGGATAGTGTTACTACTTTTTCTCTTTGCATTTGCAGAATAAATGACGCGAATGGCTTTGGTCCACTTAATGAAATGAGACCCACTTCCCTTATGTAAAACTTAAAAGTGCTTTTAGGAAATCACTTGAATGATCTCAGACTGTGTTACTTATGAACCCATGGCATAAGAGACTTTGGCCGCAACAGCCATTCATATCCAAGTCTTATTCTGTAAAACATGAAATAACTTTTTTTCACCGAATCAGGAAGCTGAATCGAACCGGCGATGCCCATGCCCAACTACAGATGTGTATAGACAGTCTTCAGTTTTATCTAATGAGTCTAGTGCTTTGCTCCACCAATCACAGGGGCATTACAATCAGAGTCCTTTCAAATTGATCATCAGCCAGCAAATTTGACATATTACACTTCAGTTTTTTTAACCAAATTCATAAAGATCCTCTGCTTAATGTTGGGAGCTAAAAACGATGGCATTCGTATGTTTCCAGAAACTCCACAAAATGGCTGTGCAAGAAATGCTCAAAACAGCATGCCTAGTGTTACCAACCAAAAAGCAAGCTACAGATTCAAATTTATCACTAACTGATTTCAAAGAACTCATTCACTTCACTCCAAATAGCCTTAGGTACCAAACAATCAAATCTGAAACCGGTAGGTTTCAGCGCCACAAAACTTGAATAGCATCAAATTACTGGAAAATACGTTTACAACCAACCGTCCAACTAACAAAGGAAAGGAAATACTACACACATGCTTGATATAGGACGCGATACACCATTACTTCAACAAGAAGCGACACACTTCATCATTCAGGCCCTTTAACCTGGAAGCACGAAATGCAGCTTCGTATATTCTTGGTCACCTTCGCTTGCATGTTGTCCACATACTGATAGAATGAATATCTCCATGTCTCCCTGCGAAACAAGAAGCCCAAGTATAGCCAGAACCCAGAGATAAACCCAGCAGCCACAAAGCAGTAAAACCACAGCGCCTCTCTATCTTCATCCAGACTCGTTTCAGGTTGCGTCGGTGTTGACGAGCTTACGCAGTCTTCCAACGGAAATCCGCATAACCCAAGATTATTGCTGTATATTGACGGGTCATCAAGTGTCCGCAGCTGATCACCCATAGGTATCCTCCCTGATAACATGTTGGTTGAGAGGTTCAGATTGCTTATGCTCTTCAAATCTGCAAAGCCTCGAGGAATTTCCCCCCTGAGTTGGTTCCGAGAAAGGTCCAAGGATTCCAGCAGTACCAGATTGCCAATGTCTCCAGGAATATAGCCTGACAGATGATTTCCTGATAAGTTCAGGTACCTGAGTCCAAGAAGGGTTGTGAGCCCATTTGGGATTTCTAGTGTAAGAGAGTTGCCAGATAAGTCGATACCCACCACGGCTGTTATCGCTAAACTGTAAACATGATCCACATTCTTCCAAACCATATGAATTTCCACTTGATAAGAATATTTGTTTTTGTATGTGAAGTCATTGTTGTTCCGTTCTTGTGCCATGCCAGTAAAATTCGTAAAATCGTCTGGAATGGGTCCTGTGAGCTTGTTTTTGGACAAGTCTAATACTTGGAGCTGGCGAAATTGTAAGATCTCGTGGGGTATGATGCCGTCAAACATGTTTGATGACAGTCGAAGAAAGTTGAGTCGAGGCAAACTCATGCTTACCCAAGAAGGTATTGTACCAGAAAAATCATTGTCTCCAAGATCTAGAACAGCAAGCTTTTTGCATCTCTTAAGACCCAGAGGAAAGGTTCCTGTAAAATTGTTATTGGCTAGGAGTAGAAATTTAAGACGTTCTTGACATGTCCTCGAGAACGGAACTACACCACTGAAAGAGTTGCTGGACAGATCCAGGAATAGCAAATTTGGCAAGTCCCAGAAACACTTGGAAAAACCTCCATGTAAGACATTGTTTGATAGGTCTAGGAAGCCTAAATTAGTACGGTTACAAAGGAAATCCTCACCCCGATCAGTCAGAAGTGTGCCATGCAGCTGGTTATGGCTGAAAGCCATGTGGTACAGGTGTCCTGGATGCTCACTAAAACAGTCCCTTAGCTCTGCAACAATGTTGTTTGCCGTGAAGTCAACATATTGCAGGGTTGTGCAGTTTTGAAAGGCCTGGGGGTGAATACCGATAAATCCATTATATTCAGCAAAAACAGTCCACAGTGCTCCTTTTACGCAAATGGATGATGGGAACGCCCCAGAGAAGTTGTTGTTTGCAATGTAGATTACCTCAAGGAGGCTGCTATTTCCAAGCCCGGGGAAGATGTGACCTACCAGCTGATTTTCTGACAGAAGCAAAGACTGGAGTTTGACCAAATGAGAGATGGTACCTGGCAGCTGCCCTCCCAAATAGTTATCCTTAAGGTTTAGGGTCTGCAGTCCTGTCATGTTTCCAATCTCCATTGGGATGCTCCCTGTCAAATTATTGCCTAGGCTCAACTTGCGGAGCTTCATGAGCATCCCAATTGTTGGTGGTATCGATCCTGCCAAAGTAGCCAAATTGATAGTGAGCGTTATCAAGCTTGTCAAGTTGCCAATCTCTTGAGGTAGTGTGCTATCGAGCCCCAAAGCTTCCAGTTGCAGATCAGAAAGTTGTTTCAGTTGTCCAATGCTGTGTGGAATGCGCCCCCTTAAGTACGGGTTCTGCATGATCCTCAGCGTGACCAAGCTCGTCAGGTTGCCAATCCCTGCTGGAATCGTACCGAATAGACCATTCCGGATCAGGGTGAGACTCCTCAAGTGGGGAAAGGCTGAGAAGTCTAACTTGTCAAGTGTGCCGTTCAGACTTGTGTAGGCCAGGTCGAGCTCTATGACGTGCCCGGCCTGGTCACAGGTGATGTGCGTCGACCTGCAAAGGCTCGTGGAGTTGGCCATGGACCATGGCCCAAGGGACTCATCGGCACCATCCAAGCTAGCCTTCCATTTCACAAGTGCTTCAGCTTCACGCCGGATGTCCGCTCTCACTAGCGCGACTGCACATAGTAGGAGACAAGAGCAAGATCAAGAGAGCAGGAGGCCTACGGGATGGAGATGCTTCATGGTGGCTTCGGAGTTTGGATGGGTGGTGGTTCATGGCTACAGGGACTCAGGGATATTAATCCTCCAGATGAGACAGCCGGTCGGCCGTCCCTCCACTACAGTGGTGGTTTACGAATGGCACACTTTCGTAATGTCAGTTTAGATTAAGGACAAGCTACATGCTAGTTTATTATGGAGGCCGGCTCATAATAAGAGTAAGAAATTACAAATGGTACGATGTATGATGTATGATCATGTCATTATCAGGGTGACGCTTAGAAGCCATGGCACACAGATACTTAATCATCTCTTGTTTTTTTGAAAGATCTGGTAAACACCGGCTTCATTGATTTAGTTACTTAATCATCTCTTGTTTTTTTGAAAGATCCGGTAAACACCGGCTTCATTGATTTAGTTACTTAATCATCTCTTGTTTTTTTGAAAGATCCGGTAAACACCGGCTTCATTGATTTAGTTACTTAATCATCTCTTGTTTTTTTGAAAGATCCGGTAAACACCGGCTTCATTGATTTAGTTACTTAATCAACTCTGATATTGGACCATATCACCCTACCAGTCTGAACCTTTATCCTGCCTCCTAGAGCAGCAATTCAGGCTTCAATGGCAGACGCCTGCGCCCACGAAAAGTAGAACACACAAACAAAGAAGAAAACATAGCCAAATAAAACAGAGAAACATTTCTAGAATATTATTCTAATTTGCCAAACATAATTGGTATCACGAAATTAAGGTTGAGGTCAAATTGAACGGAACGGGCGTAGATTTTGTGTCTCAACAAAACTCACTTCCTTTTCCCTCCGAAATTTAGAAGCACTTCCACATAGCTCCTGCCATCTCCTCGTCAAGCCAAAGGCCTCCCTACTTGCAGTCGATACCAACTAGCCCCCACCGACGGGATCCCTAGCCTAAGCATATTGGACGAAGACTAGGTTAGGACCCGGGAGACACCCACGGTGCAAGCAAACGTTTCTGCACAGCGAGAGATGGCAATGGTGCAGCGCCACATCACTCCGTGTCAGCACAATCGGAGATGATGGAGGCAATCTAGGAAATGGTACCCACTGCCCAGGACTAATTCTGATTTGTATCTGAAGATAAATTCGTCAGCGCAGGGGCAGAGGTGGTAGAGAACGGTGCGGATGAGGCACCGGATCCAGGGAAGACGGTGGAAGGCCGCGGGGCACGCGGCGAGGCGGCCATCCGCCGGCCGCGGAAGGGGAGGGCTGGAAGGAACACATCGGAGGAAGAATGTGGCCGGAATCAGTGTGTAGAGATGGGCTTAGCCCAGTAGCAGACATATCGGATGCGCTGGTCTCTTCATGAGTGTGTGCGCTTATTTCTCAAAAAAAAAACATGGGCGCTTGTTCTATAAAGAAAATAGCGGTGGTTCAGTTCTTTATTTTTCATTTTCGGTTTTGGTGATTTTGTAATGGTCAAACAACGGATATACGGAGGGACAACTGGATACCAAGGGATTACTATTTTTTCCGGGTTCAAAACTTGTATTACTCATAAAGTATCAGTACAATCCATCGCAACCAGTTCTAACACATCCGGCGGAGTCGACCCAATCCAGGTCATGGTTCTATTTTGAGCTCTACCAAAAGCAGCTAAAATATCGTTGACCTTATTTTGCGACCGCGAGACGTGAGTAATATAAGATTGACGAAGACTAAGAAGATATCTAATCTCCTTTACCAGAAAAGCATAAGCAGACCGATCACAACCATCACATGTGATCATAGATACCGCCACAAGAGAGTCCAACTCGACTGCAATAGGCAAATCTGACCGCTGCAAAGCATAGGAGACGCCCTCCATACAGGCACACAGTTCAGCCTCCAAAGCATCTCTACATGAGTATAGAGCCCTGCAGGCCGAGAAAATAATCTTGCCATCCGAGTCTCTCGGTATCATTCCTGCTCCAGCTATTTCACTTGAGACAAAAGACCCATCTGTATTGAGTTTTACCCATCCGTTCACCGGTTTAGACCACGTCAACGAAACATCCACCGCTGCACTTGTACGCTTGGTAGCACCGTCCAGAACGACTGCCATCTTCCCTCTAGCAGGATCACAACGTGAGTTGGACTTTACTGCCATCAAGGATTTCATATAGCTTTGCAAGAATCCGATTGATACATCCATTGGCGGAGCAGGCTTAGAGTGTACTAGCTCATTCCTTACGTACCAGCCTCTCCAGAAAATCATCAACATCATGCATCGTTCCAAATCACTCAAATTGGCTAGGACATGTAGCAGCCATTCCTTTCCAGTATGGATGAAAGTTTCTATATTGGGCAGTCTCCAAATTTTTGCCATTGACCTGTATAGATCCTGGCCATATTAACACTTCACAAAGGGGTGAAAGTTGTCTTCTGCTGCAGCTCCACAAACTGGGCATGTGCTAGTAGTCTCGAGGCCGATCCGGCACTTATTTTTCCAGGTCGGTAAACTGTCCGTTGCCACTCGCCATGCAAAATTTGCAATCGTAGGTGTAGCGCCGCAATTCCAAATGAACTTCCAGCACTCTCTGGCTCCCGTCGGCGCTGAACTAGAGGAGGCCACAGACCCTTGGTGCAGTTCATCAAACGCGAGGCGATAGGCGCTTCTAACTGTGAAGACTCCATGCTTTTCAGGTGCCCATGCAAGGAAATCATCGTCTAGTCTCGGAGAAGCCCTGATCTTCATGATCTCTTCAACATCCGCAGCAACGAAATAGCGAGAGAGCAGTTCAACCTTCCAAGATCCATTATCATTTAACAAGTCAGAGACAAAACGCGTACGGCACACACCTTGCCGTGAGATGGGTCTGAATGAAAAAGGTCGGGGGATCCAGTTGTCCCGCCACACTCTTATGCTTCTATCGTTCCCAACACGCCAAATTAACCCTTTCTTTAGTAAGTCAAGACCATGGCTAATTGCTTGCCATGAGGAGGAGGCATTACCCGTGAAAACAGTATCCTCAAGTTTGCCATGTGGGTACTATCGTGCTTTAAGAACTTGTGCACATAGGCTTTCCGGTCTGGATATTAATCGCCATGCTTGGCGAGCCAATAGCGCTTGATTGAACAAACGGAAATCCCGAAAACCCA